TGCCTCCCCCATCCCATCCTGACCCCTCTGCCTGTGCCTCCCCATCCCATCCCCGACCCCTCTGCCTGGGCCTCCCCATCCCATCCCTGACCCCTCTGCCTGTGCCTCCCCATCCCATCCCTGACCCCTCTGCCTGTGCCTCCCCATCCCATCCCTGACCCCTCTGCCTGTGCCTCCCCATCCCATCCCTGACCCCTCTGCCTGTGCCTCCCCATCCCATCCCTGACCCCTCTGCCTGTGCCTCCCCATCCCATCCCTGACCCCTCTGCCTGTGCCTCCCCATCCCATCCCTGACCCCTCTGCCTGTGCCTCCCCATCCCATCCCTGACCCCTCTGCCTGTGCCTCCCCATCCCATCCCTGACCCCTCTGCCTGTGCCTCCCCATCCCATCCCTGACCCCTCTGCCTGTGCCTCCCCATCCCTCTGCCTGTGACTCCCCATCCCACCCTGACCCCTCTGCCTGTGCCTCCCCCATCCTGGCACTGACTACACTGGCTATCTCTGCATGAGATCCAGCACAGGGGCCTGAGGTTTCTCCACCTTCACTCCCACCCATACCTGTCATACCTTTGATAACTCTAGCCCCCAAGCCCAGGCCACTTGTCTCCCTCCCTGCCTTTGCTCCTTCAGTCTCCCTTGGCTGGGACACCTTTCTGGCCTCAATGACCCAGCTGGTGTCTTGCCTTCTCCTCTGACCACCCTCCCTGTTTGATGGGACAGTCCTCACCGCTGACCAGTAGATGAAAGCCTCACAAAGAGCTGGCTGGCGCTCGGCACCACCTTCTGAATGAATACTTGCTGGTCATCTCGCTCACCGTAGGGTCCTGGGCCAGGCAGGGGCAAGGGTCAGGGCCAGCTGGGGTCCCCAGGCCCTCAGACCCCAAGGCTCTTCTTCCTTCCACACTGATGGACCCCTTCCCAGACCTAGGTCCCAACCCCAGGCTGATGGAGTTGGGCTGGGTCAGACAGGGTTGGGGGGTCCCAAAAGTCGGTGGAGCTCAGGCATATCAGGGTCAGGTGCACATCAGTGGAGGTGGGGTCCAAGGTCAGGTGGCAGTCAGCAAGAATCAAGGGGGGTAAATGGAGGTCAACAAGGATCAGGTAGAGGTCAGTGGAGGTCTACAGGGGTCAGCAGTCAATGGGGATGGGAGGGTGCCTAGGTAGAGGTCAATGAAGGCCAGCCAGGTCTGTTGGGTGGGTCGGTAGAGGTCTACAGGGATCAGATAAGGGGGTCAGTGTGGGCCAGTGGGGTGGAGGGCAGGTCAGTGGGGTGGGGGCCAGGGGCCAGGAGGCACCAATGTCATTTCCAGCACTGCAGCCACCATGCCCGTCGGCCGATTCCAGCGCCAGGATCTTGAAAGAAGCAAGTGGGGTGGAGCCAGGCTGGGTGGAAATCATGCCTCGGAAGCGAGTCACAGACCATGTCCGCACATGGTTGTTGTCAGCACAGACTGAAGAGTATGAGAACAGCAGCAGGTCATGCCTGGCTGTGGCATCAAGGCTACCCAATTTTCCTGAGCCTCAGGATGACCCCCTTTCAGAGATGTAAGGATTCAGCCCCTCTGAATGCTTCCCTTTCAGAGAATTCTCTCCTCTCCAGAATTCCAAATGGTCAAAAATCCTGTTGGCTCTTCCTCCAAAATCATTCCAGAGCATTATCTCACCTTATCCTGTCCACAGCCCTTACCCTGGTCCTGTCCATCTTGTCTCCTGCCTGGACCACTGCAGCAGCCTCCTCCCTGGTCCCACTGCTCCTGTCCTGTTCCCACAATGTGTCCCTACATGCAACCAGAGGGAGCCTGCGAAGACTTGAGTCTGGTCTTGTTGCTCAGAGCCCCTCCCTGATTGGAGCCCTCCATGGCTCCTGACCCAGCACCTCCCTGCCCTCATCTCCTCCCTCTCCCCCTCGCTCAGGCACGGGGGGGCTCCCTGTTCTTCCTCAAACATATCAAACATCCCCCCACTTCAGAGCCTTTGCAATGCCTGTTCCCTCTGCCTGGAATTCTTGTCCCCACTCATTTGCATGGCTCGTTCCTTCATTTGTGCTCAAAGGTCCTTCCTCAGAAAGGCCTTCCCTGACCTACGCACTCTCCAGCCACACACAGCTTTGTTTTTATTCATGGTCCTTATCACCACCTACGTTGACTTATATTTTCATATATTTATTTATTGTCTGCCATCCCCACTAGAATATTAGCTCTGTGAGGGCAGGGATGTAGCCTGTTATGTTCATCACTGTATCCCCTGTGCCTGGCACACAGTAGATGCTTAATAATTGCTTACTGAATTAATGATTTCTCCTCTTCCCGCCACAATGCACTCTCCCTGAGATTTCTTCCCTTACGGTGTTCTCTCACTTCCGCAATTACTGTCCAAAGTCAATTCTCTCTCCCATAGAGCTCTCTCCCTATAAAATGTTCCACTCCAGTGGAAATCCTCATCCACCTGGCTTCATGCTGCCATCTGAGCTGTCTCTCCTGCAGAGAGACGGACACCTGGGCTGGCCCAGTAAGGCCCACCTGAGATGAGATGCTTCTCTGACAGCATGATCTTGGTGACGGGGCTGCGGTGCACAGTGAAGGTCTGGAAGAGTTGGGGCCCCGAGCCCACTGTCTCAGGGTGCTGCACAATGACCCGCACACCCCCTGAGCTGGTGCCGTAGGCAATCTCGATCCAGTTCCCGCTGTCACCTGGTGAGACCAAACATGACGACAAGGATTAGGTCACAGACAGACAGACACCAAGGCAGAGAGAAAGAGGCGGACAGACACAGAACAGAGACAGAGTCAGAAACCCAGGAGAGAGGGAGGAAGGGAGATAACATGGTGCGGGGGAGATGTGGGGAATGGAAGAACAGGGACACGAAGGCACAGATCAGAGAAGGAAAGACCCAGAGACAGAAATTAAGAGAGAGAAATGGAGCTAAAAAGAGAGAGAAGAGAAATAGAAAAATAGAGAAACAGACACAGGGAATCAAGAATCTGAATCACATGGAGGGATATAGAGACAGAGACATAGAGAGGTGGAATTAGAAAGACAGAAAAACATAGGAAGAAACATGAACAGACAAAGAGCAAGACGGGAAAATGTAACCCAGTGTATCTGAGGGACTCTCAGCCCTGGCCAACTTGCCATAGGGGAAAAATGATTTTGCAACTGTCAGAAACTTAACGGACTATCTTAAGGAATGTGGGAAAACATAGGAAGAAACATGAACAGACAAAGAGCAAGACGGGAAAATGTAACCCAGTGTATCTGAGGGCCTCTCAGCCCTGGCCAACTTTCCATAGGGGAAAAATGATTTTGCAACTGTCAGAAACTTAACGGACTATCTTAAGGAATGTGGGTAGGTAAGATGTGGTTTTATATTTTGTGCAGCAGTCATGAGCAATGGATTAGGGTTACACGTAGTAACATGGATGGACAAAAAGTAAGAGGATAACTGGGATATAGGCCCAATGCCATGTATGTAAATTCAAAAACGTGTCCACAATACTCATTTTGTAAGGAAACATACAAATAAAAAGATAAATGTTCAACATGACAAAATAGCGGCATGTGGTGGGGAGGGAGATGGGGAGGAATGCAATAAATAAATGAACTGAGAAAGGAGCCTTATGTAGAAAAAAGGTGATAATGTGCTCTGAAGTTAGGTATATTATTAAATATTCCTGCTGGAAAAAATGAGCTTTAACAAAAAAGAAAAAAGAAAAAAAAGAAAACAGAAAAACTGTCCCAAGTAAGAGAAGTCAGCTTCAGCCACTGTTAAAACACATATCCTCTGTTTTACAAACATGCAAACATCACGACCTAATCACAGAGGTGGGAAAGAAAACATAGACTAACTACTGATGAATGACTAAATGAGAGAGGAATCTGCCCCTCCTCCTGATCAATCCCACTGGGTCATGCTATACAAGTCAGGAAACAACTGCAGGCTGAGGCTGGTTTGGCTGGTCATGGCAGGAGGGGAAGCCGGGCCATAGCTTACTGGTCTTGGGGGTGAGGTAGACACTGAGTGCAGTGACCCCGTCCTCTGCCGGGTCCCGGTAGAGCTCGCTGACAAGGAGATCGTTGTCCTTCATGCGCAGGGGGAACTTCTGCACATCTGGGGAGGGAAGGGAGGGTAGAGCGGGTTTGCTGAAGGTGCCCCATCCTGTCCCCTCCCCTCCCATTTCTTGGGGGAGACTCTCAGACACCAGGGCATAGGCTGCTGCTCACCCACATAGTAGATAGAGCCATTGTTGCAGCCCAGGAGGAGAAAGGAGCCTGCAGCATCGTAACTGGTGATGGGCTGCACCTCCTGGACCTGGCGCAGGGAAGGACACGCTGTGGCCATGGAGCCCCCGACGCCTCTGCTTCTGCAGCCCCCCTGACAGCATGCCCTCTCCTCCCTGCTCCAGAGCCTACCTACCTATGCCTGGCCTATCTCTCTTCATCCCATTCTTCCTGTGACTCCCTTTTGTACATCTGTCTCTTTGTCTCTGAGTGTCTCTCAGTCTCTCCTTGACTCTGTCATTTTTTCTTTTTTTTTTTTTGACGGCTGGCTGGTACAGGGATCCAAACCCTTGACCCTGGTGTTATAACACCTTGACTCTGGATTTCTGACATTACTCTAATTCCAGGTCCAGGTTCACATCCCCATACTCGACAGCCACCCTACTACACCCCCCCCCCCAAATAACTCATTTCTATCTCTCTGTGTCCCTTCATCTACCACAGTCATTCAGTCCTGGTTTCACTCTGTCCATCCTTCCATCACCTCTTTCTGATTTTCTCTATTTCTATTTGTCTGCTTCTTTCTCTATCTCAATCTCTTTCTCTGCCTGTCTGCCTTTGTCTGTCTGTCTCTCTTCCAAACACTCAGACTTTAGTAGGATAAAAACAACACTGTAGATTTTTTTTTTTTTTTCAGTTTGGACATGGCTTGGGGTGGGTACAGAGAGAGTGATGGACATTTGCACATCTCTTTCTGGGGTTCTGCCTCCTATACAATCTCCCCTCACCTGCTCCCTAACCAAGTGCCTGGAGAATCCTCTCTCCTCCTTTCCAAACTCTTCCATCCCTCATGTCAACTCTGCAGCTCCTCCTCCAGGAAGGCCCCCCTGATGCCCCTTAGGCCTTTATTGCACACATCCCCATGTCTGGTCCACTGGCTTTCTCTGGGGTGGGAGTGGGGGGGCAGAAAGGAATCCCTCCCTGGGTCTGTACAGTCCCAACAGGTGGGGAGAAGGTAGCCAGGCTGGCCAGAACTCTGACCTGCCAGTGCTTGGTGACAGCATTCCACACCCCAATGCGCCCGGTGTGGCTTGTGGCAATGAGCTGGTTCCCAACAAAGAACAAGGCCTCCACAGGCACCCCCAGATGGAAGACTCCTACAGGGCAAGGAGGGCTCACCACTCTCCTCCCCCATGAAGTGGGGAGGAGAGTGGTGGCAGGAAGAATTCCAAGAGACAGACAATTCAGTTGGGCCATGGAATCCTCACAGGACAGAGGATTGCAGCAGGAATTATACAGGATTACAACGGGCCAGATTTCTGGTGGAGTGTGGGACTCCCACGGAGTGTGGAATTCTAACATGCCTGATATTTGCGACAGGCAAAAAAAACTCTAGTGATGGCAGAGCATTCTCAGAGGACTAGGATTTGTTAGGGACAGATTATTCTAACAAGTCAAGAGATTTCTAATGGCAACACAGATTCTTACAGCCTCTGGGATTTTATTGGCATGGTGCATTCTTATAAAGCAAAGAGATCTAACAGGGCAGGGAATTCTGATGAAAGAGAGAATTGCACATGGGTTCATTTTTCTAACAGGCCAAGGAATTTTAACAGGATGGAATTCTGAAGAGTTGGAGCATTCTAATGAGGCAAAGAAATCTAACAGGGCAGAGATTTTGTATGGGTTTGAGAATTTCATGAGGTGAGTTATTTTAACAGCCCACAAAATTCTAAAGGCAGAGGGTTCTGGAAAAGGCCTGGGGCCATACCTATCTCAGAGCCACCGCCTTCTGCTTGCAGTGCCCACAGCAGGATCTCACTGCCTGTGGCCGCTGCCACCATCTTGTCGTGCTCACCCAAAGCCCCACCAGGCACCCGGGCTGTGAGCGCCAATCGCTCAATGGGCCAGTCCAGGCGGGGGCTGGAAAACACTAGCTGCCAGCCAGAGGCTTCCTTTAGCCTGTAGGATTGTGGGACACCATCAACCCTCACCTTAAGCCCTCCCCATCAACAGGGCTCAGAACCTCCTGCCACCCCCGCCCTGAGCACCTATAACAGACAAGAAACTGGGTATAGGCCACGGCGATCCAGTTGTGGTGTCCACACACCAGGCGCACCATCCCCGGCTCCTCCGGTTGCCCTTGGGGAGAAGAGTAGGGATCAGGGCAGGGTCACTGGGCCCCACTGGCTGCCCTGACCTCCTAGGAGATAGAAACGTACCTGAGGGGGAGGGAGGGATTTTCTCATCTAGCATTCGGCCCAGCAGCCCTGCATTGCCCAGGTTGGGGGGCATTGTGTTGCTCCGTCGAACAGGGGCTGGACGTCCCCCTACCTGCTGGGGCCCCGCCAGGCTGTGCCGGTTCGGTCGTTTCACCGGGAACACTATAGTAAGAGGGGCAGAGTAACGATAGCTGTAAACATGGCTGTCATGTCGTAAGCACTTAAATATGACAGATACTGATTTCCCCATGTGTGAAGCATAGTCTCCTGGTGAAGATTTTAGGTGGTGCAGGGATATGGCACTAAATAACACTGAATCACACAGAGAGTTATTCCCTTTTCAGTTCCCTTGAGCCCCTCACAGAGGAAGACTCAGTTTAATACAGTTCTGCTATGATGTTAATGCTTCTTCAATATTCACTAATCTTCCCTTTTAATAAATGGAAGCCTGCACCCTTGGCAGGCAACAGCATCTAGCCAGAGTTTAATAACACTGTTATGTTTGTTTTCTTTCATGCTTTTTGGGGTTTTATTTTCAAGTTTACTTTGTATTTGTGGTATAGTGACAGTGATACAAAATTTCTATTTAAGATGATTTTTTGAAAACGGGGTAAAACTAAGTTAGGAAAATAATAGTACAGGTCTCTATATTTGGCAAATTTTACAAAGGAAGTAGGTAATGACTGAGGTCAGGAAAAGAAAGCTATAGATTAAATTTCCCCACCTTGTTCTTTCTACCAGTCAGCAAAGCCTAGTGGACTACAGTTCCTAATAACTGCTGGGACATACTTTCCATAGGCAGTGGGCTGGCTGCTCCAAGGTCTCTCCAGGATTATAGTGAAGAAGTTTCCTTTGATATTTCTCCCCTCCATGCAAAGGACTCCAGTTGTTCCAAATCCTCCCCGCGAGGAAATCAAACCTGAACTACAACTCCCATCAGGCCCTATGGCATACTTCTGAGCCTCAAGGAGAACTAGCTGGCCCATTGCCTCATGGGAAACGCTGTTTCCTACTTCCCTTCCAAGCATCAGCCCAAGCATCTAATATACAACTACAACTCCCATAGTGTCTCAGGGACCACAGCACAGGCACCCAAGGGCTGCAGTCTCATGGGAAGTGTAGTCTTTAGTTCAAACCCTCCTCCCGTCAATCCATTGGGAGTGCCCACCTGGTGGGGGCAGGTAACCATTGAAGAGGACGTTTCCACAAGAAGATCGATCCAACTCCTCCCGCAGCTGCAGGCGACGAACTGTGATGGAAGGACTAAAAGGCTGGGACTTGGGGGGGTACTGAGGCAGACCCCTTTTCTCTTCCCCATCTCTTTTTCCACAGAATACCACTTCTCTCAGACCCAGGGCCAAATCCAGTGCTCTCAGCTCTAATCCAACCCTCTTTCAGGAGAGACAGGGAAGAAGGGCAGGGAGCATTCAGGAGCCATCAGTAGAGAGCTGGTTTTCTATGCAATGAGGATGACAATTGGGGACCTCACTTACCCAGAGGAGTGAGCCCATAGAACTGGGCTTCATGGAGGAGGCTGGAGCCATGGACACCCCTGGGTGGCAGAATTGACTAGGGGTCAAGGTCTGGGATGTGGGAATGAGCAGAGAACTTTGAGGAGGAAATTTTCGAAACTGCACAGAGAATGTCCAGGAGTAGCAAATTTTGACAGGATCAAGATTCTAAGAAGATATGGGCAGTGAAAATGAGTGTGTGTTCAGGGAAAATTCTAAGGACATATGATTTTAATATGATCTAGGTTCTGAATGAAAATTCTAATAGAATGGAGCTTCAGTGGACATTCTGAGAAGAAGACACTTCTCAGGGGGTAAAGACGGTGGGGGCTCCCTCCCTTTTATCCATGCCAACCTGAGGTCCAACTCTTTGGTGCGCAGGAAGTTGAGGATGGGGGCGAAGACGGTGGGGTCCCTGTCGATGAAGATCTGCGGGAAAAGGGCGCAGACGATGTACGGAGCAAAGAGCGGGACTGACTGGGGGTCCTGTCCCTCCCTCGACCGGCCGCCCTATTTCAGCTCTTCCCCTACTCACTGCTCCGGTCTCATCTTTCAGCGTTGAGATGCGTCCGCTCAGAAGACTACAGGGAGGGGACGCAGAGCAGGTGTCACGAGCCGAGGCGAAGGTTGGGTGCTAGAAATTAGGTCTCTCCCCACACCCTCTCCTTCTGCTCCCTTACCCCCGCCCCAAACTCGCTCTCCCGATCACCTGGAAAAGAAGGAGTCTGGGATCCAGGTGAGAGTCTGGCGAGAGGTACTGAATCTGAGCGGGGAAGGGAAGCGGACGCAAAAGGTGATGGGGAAAGGGAGGGTGAGGATCCAGTTTCCTCCCCTCCCCCAGCGTTTTTCCAGGCTCTCGCGCCTCCAGCAGGGGGCGGAGCAACCCTTGATGGACAGAGATTTCCCCGAGGAGAGGCGGGTACTGCCACCCCCGCTCCCCGCCCGCCAGGGGGTGGATTTATTAATCTCCCACACTCACCTCTTGCCTCCGACGTTCAGATGAATCACTTGCCCGGGAGGCCCCAGACCCGAGAGCCCCTCGGCTGCATTCGCCGCCGCTGCCATGGCCCCCGGGCCAGCCGGCTGGCCTGTGCTCGCTTCCGGGTGTACACCCGGA